GAGGAGGAGGAGGAGGAGGAGGAGGAGGAGGAGGAGAGGAGGAGGAGGAGGAGGAGGAGGAGGAGGAGGAGGAGGAGGAGGAGGCGGAGGAGGAGGAGGAGGTGCTGCCTCTCTGCGCAGCGCCGGATCTCGGGGGCGGCGGTCTCGGCGGCGGAGAGGAGGGCGGCGGGGCAGGCTGCGGAGGCCGCGCGCCGAGGGCCCCAGACCCTGGAGAGCCCGAGTTGCGGCAGGGGGGGGGAGGAAGGGGCCCTGGGGGCACACAAAGAAGTACACACCAATCCAAAGAGTCCCCATATTCCCCCATATTTCCTAGTGTTTCGTCGTCCCCCCCCCACTTCCCATATGCTCGCAGATTTTGTCCTGGGAATCGACGATTACTTGTGTCTGTGTTTTTTTTTCCCTCCTGAGAGAAGGAGGGGAAGGATGAGGACGAGGAGGAAGAGGAGGGGCGAGCAGGGGGGGAGGTGGGCGAGGAGGATGGGGGACGAATAGGGAGGGGGGAAGGAAAGGGGGAGGACAGATGGAGGGAGAAGGAAGAGCACAGGAGGGCGGAGGGATGAGGGACGAATAGGGAGGTTGGAAGGAAGAGGAAGGAGGAAGGAGGGAGGATAAGAGGGAGGAGGGAAGTAGCACACTGGACAGCAGGGGTGGGGAATGGAAAAGGGAACGAGCATGGTGGATGAGGGAAGATGGAGGAACGAGGGGTGGCACTCCAGTGCCAAGGCTCTACCTGAACTGTCCAAGACCCAGGACTTGGGACGCTTCTTTGTCTGGGCCTCCAGAAGCCTCCGAGGACCTGGGGCCTCTGGGGACGCCGAGAGGACCTCTGCTGGTCACCCAGGGTTGCCAGCACCCGCGGTGGGAGACGCTGGCGCGCCCCCAGGCCGCCCTGAGTTCCTGCGCCCTGCGCCGGTCACTGGGCGCACAGCTGGCAGCCGCCGCGGCGGGGGGCCCTTTGCCACAGCAGCTGCTCCAGGGATCCGGGCCCCACCCCGGTGGGTGGGGGGGGGAGGGAGAAAGGGAGGAGGCGGGAAGGACCCCGGGAAGGAACAGGGGTGGAGGGGGTGGGGCAAGGTAGGGAGAAGAAGTAGGGCGGAGTGTGGGAGGGAAGGGGCGGGAGGAAATCTGGAGCAAAGGCCGAAGAGTAGCGAGCATCGAAGAACAAACAGGGATGGAAGGAATAAACGAGGCGGATGGAAGGAATGAGGGTGAGGATGATGATGGGAGGGACAGTCACGAGTGGACGCAGTTTCCAGGCACCGGTGAGGAAGGAACAGTGGGGGTTCGAATCGAGCCCGTGGATGAGCGGGGGGAGAAGATGACAAGGAGGCGGAGGAGAAGGCCGAGGGATGGGAGCACGACGAAGCGGAGTGGGATGAGAAGGGGGAGGGGGAGGGGGACTACCTACCAGACCACCCCAACCCAACCCGAAGACCCGAATTTCGCCCGAATTTCGGGTTGGGGGGGGGGACGGGCTTCATATGTGTTTTTTCCATGTTCCCCGACCCCCCTTCTCTGTCTGGAAATGGAGGGCAAATCGAGGCCTTCGGGTTGGGTTGGGGTGGTTTGGTGGGCGGTGGGAGTCAGACATCGAGCTTCACACGGCAGGGAAGGCAGAGGAGAGGCGGATGGCAGAGGTGGTGGAGCAAACGGCCATTGGAACGGATCGGTCCACACCCGACCACTGCGGCGGGAGCGGTGGACTCGCGTGACCGGCGGCCGTCGGCGCCGTTGGCAAGGCGATCCGGCGATCTCGAGGCCTCAGAGCCGGCATCGCCTCCAGCGCTGACGGGTGTCCGATCTCTCAGCGTAGACAACCGCTGGGGGCACTGCCTCCGCAGGAGCAGACGGAGACTTGGGGGGGGCTCTCCACCAGCAGGTGGGGAGATCCAGAGCACCACAACAGTCGAGCAGTGAACTGGGAGAGCCCATGCGGGCGTCTGGATCTGAAGAGAACCAGCGGGTGAAGTCGCACCCGGATGAATTTGGAGAACCTGTCTGAGTGTCTGGCTCTAAACCCGTGGGTAGCGTCGCACTCGGATTGGCTAGAAGAACCTGTGTGAGTGCTTGATGGACTTGGAAAACCTGTGAGCGTGATGAGCTCGCTGACTCTCGGGGACGGCATTGAACAACTAGAAGGAGCCGAGTGGGGAGGACGAGACGTGTCTGTCGGAAATAGCTTTGCGGCCCCGCGGGCCTTCCGAGAGCTCCTGAGGGCCACCGATGGGCGCTGTGCTCATGCTGCCCCCCCTGGTGTGCCCGCGTGGACTGCGCCTCGGCTTCCCCCTGCGCCCATGCACGCAGCACGGGATGCACACGCAGCCAGCACTGCACGTGAGCGCCTGGGGGGCACGGGCACGGCGGCGCTCGCTCCGCGGAAAGCCCCCCCCCCGGCGCGTGCAGACGTGTCTGTGGGGTGGGGCAAGAGGCCCCAGAGCGCGCTCTGAGCCGGGGGGGCTCGAGCCGGTGGCCACGGAGGGGAGGAGGCGGCAGGAGCAGCAGGGGCTGGACGGGAAGGAGACGGGGACCGTGACCCCGACCGAACGCGGAGACTACGTGCCGATCTTGGTCACCGTCCATCTTGGTCGGCGTCAATTCGTGGAGCATCCTCGCGACATCGGCGGCGGCCGGCATGGACCACAACCAGAACTGGCGTCGACGAAACCCCGCGGCGTCCTCTGGTCATGGCCACTGTGTGTCCCTGCCCTCGAGGGGAGGAGCTCGGGGAGGGAGGAGGAGGCGCAAGGCGAGGACCTGGGCAGAGGAGAGCGGGGGGGGGACCAAGGGGAGGAGGAGGAGGAGGAGGAGGAGGAGGAGGAGGAGGAGGAGGAGGAGGAGGAGGAGGAGGAGGAGGGCAGGACGGGACCAGCAGCATGAGCAAGGGGGGTCAGGACGGGCTCCGCGCGCCCGCTCGAGGACCACTTGCCGTCGCTCGGACGTCCGTTCCCCGTGCATGTTTCGCCTTCGCGCAGGTGCTGCTTCAGAACACGATCCAGGATGCTCATGGATGGTCCTCGCCGAAAAAAAATATGCACGCGTCCGAGCGATGCCAAGAACGGATCCTGGCCGTTAGTTCCTCCACCTCCTCCTCCTGCTCCGCCCGAGCGCTTTCTGTCTGCCCAGGGGCGCCTCCTTGAGGATGCGCGCGGACCACGCCTGGATGATCTGCCTGCAGGTCAAACATTTGTGGGGCAACTCCCGGGAGGCCTTCATCAGAACGATTGAAGGCCAGTGATCCCGATTCAAGGGCCACTGAGCCAGATCATGCTGGGTCGGGCCTGAGACCAAGGCGGGTCGTGAGCGGGCGGGATTCAGCCGGACTCTGCGGGATTACACCAGGCTGGGCGAGTCTTCGACCAGGGATGCGCCAGCCCCAGGGCTGGATTTCCCCTCCCAGGAGTTGCATCCCGACAGGGAGGGGCGACAGAAGGGAGCCGTAGGCGGCAACAAGGAACAGAACACCATTCTCGGCCGCTCCGGCCCGCGAGGCCTTCCCGGGAGCCTCCCGCGAGTGGCTGAGCGCACCTCGGCATCGTCGGAGGCCCGAACGGCCGTGCCAGGCCCACGGGCGAGTGGAGCTGCAGAAGTGCGGCGACGGGCACTGGGTACGGAACCTCGGCGGTGGACAAACCTCCCTTTAGTAAACCTCCCTTTAGGGAGAACGGCCTGGGACCGAAACCGACGGGCCTAGACCCGCAAAAATGACGGCCGCGACGCCCTCTCGCGAACCGAAAACGGCCACTTCACTAATCGACGTGTCAGGGTAGGAGGTCTGTCCACCCCCGAGAACCATTGGGCAAGGAATCCAGGGTCTGGGAGCCTGTGGAAATCCGATCGTGGAGTGGCCATGAGTCACAGAGCCGCCCTCGTCAGATGAGGCCCCCCCCAGGGCATGAAGTCTTCCGGGGGCACATTTCTGAACCAGCGCCCCCACCGTGGGTCATTCCTCTTGGGACGCGTACGGTCTATATATATCACATTCGCAAGTGGCTAGGTGTCGACAGCGCTGTCGCTAGCTGGCGCAGCCGAGGTGCGAGAACGAAGATAGTAACACAAGCCATCACCCATCGGCTGACACACACAACCGCCTATAGCATTAGGCGCAAGGGCAAATACCGAAGAAAATATGAAGACAGGAGGCCGTTTCAACAACCACCTGCTCGTAACTGTCTTCCGAAAACTGACGGGTTCATGACATCCGCTGGCCCTGAAGATACTCTCGCAAAGAAATCACTGGAGTACATCGATGCTTGCGCGCAAGCGCTATCCAAAACTGGGGCGAGGCACATGCCACCAGGACGATTGAACACGACCACCAAGAATGTTTGAGACCGATCGAGGCACCAAAAGCACTCAAGAAAACCCGGCCTCCAAACCGCCCCAGATGACGCCCCAGAGGTTCACAAGGCCCCCCCCCTGACGAGCGGAGGGGGGAGCAATCACCGAGAGCCGAGAGCTGAGAGTCCACCCACAGACAAGAAGCCTCCCGTGGGCTCAACAAAAAGCCCCTCAACGTCCCAGGAGAAGCTGACGCCGACCCCCAGCCCCCCCGCGGCTGTCCCCTATCTTGCGAGGAGCCCCCCGACGGAAGGAGAGAACTTTGTGTAACGATTTGGCACGCACAGCGTGCACGAGGGTGGGAAAGGGAGAAAAAGGCAGAGCCAGCCACTGCTCCATGCACCCGTAAGCAGCAGCACGGGCGCCCCCCAAACCTTTTTATCAGGTCGGGCATGTCCCCCTCTACAGGCGGATTTTGAGCGAAAAATTTAAAATCATCCAAGATTGCTCCAGAATAGTCCCAAAAAAGTAAAATCGTCCCCAGACATTTGTTTTACTATTTCCGAATGTTCCTCCTGTGGAGGGACGCGCCCGACTTCAACCTCTTCCTCCCCGCAACACGCGGGTGAGGGGAGGACCCCCCAAAGGGGCGGGGGCTGGAGCAGCGGCGGCACTGCTTGCCAGGGCGTGATCGCACTGATCAGCTCTGCAGGCGCGCGGGCCTGTACTGCTTCGAGAGCAGGTCGGCGAAGGCTCGGCGCACGCGCCTCTCGCGCGGGCGGGCGGCCCGGCGGGCTCGGCTGAGGGGGGGAAGGGCGGGGGAGGCGGAGGGGGAGGGGTCCTCCTCTTCCTCGGCCACCCAAACCTCGTCGTCCTCCTCCTCCTCCTCTTCCTCCTCCTCCTCCTCCTCCTCCTCCTCCTCCTCGGCACGTAGCGGAGCCATGCTAATCTTCTCCGTACCTTTCCCATTCAAACGGATGGCCCCCGAAGGGAGTCCTCCTCCTCCTCCTCCTCCTCCTCCGCCTCCTCCTCCGCCTCGCCCTCCTGTCCCCCCTCCCCCGCACCCCCCCCCACCCCAGCCTCCTTCTTTGGGAGGGAAAAGGGCAGCTGCTTCCCCCGCTTGGCGAGGCCGGAGCACGCTCTGCGCCCCCCTCGGCCGCTCCGCCCCGCACGCGGCCGCCCCCCTGCGCGTGCGGTGCGGGCTGCAGCGGCGGAGGGGCGGGGCCACTCGGGGACCTGGCGGGGGGGGCGCCCGCTAAGCGCGCGCACAGACCTCGTGAGACGAGGCCGCGATTGGGATACAGGGCAGTTTTTAATACATGGGATTTTAAAACATAGGATTTCTAATACATGATTCATTCATGATAAATGTATGCATGAGCTCCTCGTTGTTTTTAGAACTAGATCCCTGCATTTTTCAATACATGGTCCGCACGCGGAGCACGTATTAAAAACGGCACTGTGAGATGGGCTCGGGGGATGGCGGCTCCGGAGGATGCGTCGGGCGTCGCGGCCCCTGCAGAGCGCCACAGGACGCTCTGAGGGCGTTCTAGGATGCGTTCCAGAACTCTCTGGAACAATTGACCTGGTCCTGTGCCCGCCCGACGTCTTCTGCCTGTCGCCGGCCAGGCACGGAGCGAACATGGCAGCGCTGCCGCAACGGACCGTCCGCGAGTTGCGGGGCGTGCTAGCGCAAATTGCGATCGGCACATGCACACAGCACATGCGCGGGCGCACGCACGAACGGGCGCACGCACGAACGGACGCACGCACGATCGCACGCACGCCCTCACCTGATTACACCACCGCACCGCAGCACCCCCACAGGGGGTAGACCCATCTGTGGGGTGCTGGGGAGGGGCCCAACCCACGAGCTGGAAAGGGTGGGGGCCCAGACCCGGGTTCACGCGCTGCGCGCCTGTACTCGTGGCGGAACACTGTGAGGCTCAGTTCCTCCTCCTCTGCGTCGAGAGCGGGGGCGCACAGGGCAGCCATCAGCGTCATCTGGGGGGTGGGAGACGCGACGGGGAAGCAAACAATCGAACGACACATTGCAAAATAATCAAACTCAACGTGGCAACCGTGGCAACGTTGGCGATGATACGAACAAAAGGAAAGGTTATGGTGGTGATGATGATCGAACCTTCTTGAAGCACCGCGCACTGGCATGATGATGGAAGGCGGGGGCTGATCAATAAGAACCGTATTTCGCTAATGGTACTGTTGACGAGCAGCCAACCATGGCCAACAAGCAGGTACTGTTGATGCTAATGGCTAACGGTACCAGACTGGACCACGCCAAACAAACAATCATGTTCGTCCAGGACTGGAAATGGTGGAATGCACGAAGCTCCGATCGGAACGTAAGACAGCAACGCACTGCCCCTCTTAGCGTTTCACCGCATGCCGACAATCTAAAAACAACTGCTTCATAAACCAAGAAGAGCAATCCAAGATCCGAGTATAATTGCGTGAGCGCGCCAGGAACAATCGCACTCACAACGAGCCGCCTGGAAGCCAGATGGGAAGGTGATGGCAGCTTCAGTAAGGCAACATGATCTCATCTGGTCTTCCTAAGAAGAGCACTGCTGCGGTATGGGGGCCATACTAGGGACACATGACATTCCGATGCGGCCTCACGGAGACCACAGCGATGATGGGAAACTTCGCGTGTCTGGCAAGGCCTGGCAAACTCATGCGGATCATGTGATTAGGATCGTGTACGCAGCGGCGGGCATACGGCATGAACGCTCGCTGCCGCGAGCTGCAGTAGATTGTGAGTCTGACTCGGCTGCCCGCGCCTGGGCGTCCCACGAACCCTTCGGTGTCAACCCCTGCCTTCTTCACTGCTGCACCCACGCGCCTTGGATGCGACAACATAAGGAAGACCGTTGCAGCCCAGGTGGATCGACATGACCAGCTACATATCTCGCGTCACGAAATACTCTTCGGTAAAACGCAATGCGCGAATCATGCAACTGTCACGTGTGGAGAAGAGCCTCCAACTGAGTGCTAACATGGTGGCAACAAGCACCTGGGCGTTACAGTATCTCAAGTGTGCAATTCATGGGACCACACATACATGTATGTACGTACGTACGTACATACATACATGCATGTATGCATACATAAATGCATGCATATATGCATGCATGCATGCATAACTACACACATATTTGTATATACCGGTGGACTCACATGTTTTGGGTACGGCGTGTCAGCGCCCCCCATTACTGAAACAATAGAAAGGCGAGTGGTGAGGATCAGGGATAGCAAAAGGAAGGGGCTCCACCACAGACTCTTGCTTGTTTGACGACTCTACTGCAAGGCCTTTTTGCTGCTTCGCACCTCTGCGGTAGGACAGTGGCGCAACAAAAACGTGACACGGGAAATGTATACTCCTCAGACGAACGGCGGCTGCTGCAAGTCGTACCACTAATCTGCGTTTCTCCCGTCCAGGCGACACTCAAGACGGCTTTTCCTGAGTCGCCCCTCTTGACGAAGCTTCGACATGTGGAGATCCCGCTGTGGTTTCAAATGTCTCAAAATTTCAGCTGGCTGTCTGTATGTTTGGCCTGCTTTGGCTCGGCTGATGTGTATATATATACATATATACTAGAACCATCGCGCGCGCTTCGCGCGCGCTCAAGTTCTAGCTGGGCTTGATGGGCTAGCCGCTTCTTGATCTTGGAGGCCCTGCGCAAGCCTCGGAAGCACTGCGGAAACTCAGAAATCATTAATTCCCGTTCGGTATTCAACGATTTGGGGCCCTTAAAGACTTCCTGGGTTCTTTTCTGGGAGCTGAGGGGGGCCTTAAGTGTGGTCTGTTGTGCAAGAGTAGACAGGGGGGGGCGAGCTTGAAAAAAAAGAACTGTGGGATTCCTTTTGTTTTCATGCCTGGGCTGTGGGTTAGAAGTTTCCTGGATGCAGGCCAAGGTATGTTGGGATGCCTCTCGTGGTCTTCATGCAAAAGTAAGCACGGGCGATTTGGGAAAAAAACTTAAACACATAAATTATTGTCTTCCGACTCATGGGAGCATGGGATCTGAATTTCTAATGTGGTTTCATGGGCAGCCAAGAGGACACGAAGACGATCCAAGAGAGTACCAAGACAGCGTTAGAGAGTTCAACCGTATTCCAGAAACATCTTTGCATGTGACCCCGAAGTCTTGATGGGGTTTGAGGAAGAGGATAGGAAGTAGGAGTCTCAACTTTAAAAAGAGAATCTCTGGAACTCCTTCTTTTCCAAGTTCCTCGGTCTTTGAAGTCTCTTGGAAGCTTTCTGGGAGCCTGGAGAGCCGACCGAAAGCTATCCTGGGTTGCTTGGGAGTGTCCTGGGCCTTTCTTTGACGTTCTGGGGACTTCTTGGGGTCGTCTTGGGCTGCCCTGGGCGTTTTGGGGGCTCCCCGGGAGGTCGGGAAGCGCGGTACCGCGAGCGCTCCGCAGATGTTCCGGGAAGGTGTGGGACCCCCGTAGGAGGGGGCGCTCACTTGTTGAATTTGGAAACAACTAATAATAAAAAGAATATCTCTGACATTCCCTCTGTTTTCTTCAAATTCCTCGGTCTTGGAGCGTTGGAAGCCGGAAAACGTGAGAATGCGAAACAAGTCGACAAAAACCACTGAAAATCAACGTTTCTACCTTCTTCGGGCTCTCTCGGGACGGCTCTCGAAACTCTCTTGGGCTGTTTTGGGGGCCTCGTCGGAGCTTTTTGGGGGGCCTCTCAGGGGTCTGGGGTGTGTTGGAGGCCTCTGGGGGGTCCGGGAGTTCTCTCGGAGGTCTCTGGCGGCATCCTGCTCCCGCTCTTGGGCTTATCTTGGGCCTGTTCTGGGGTGGTCTATGGCTGTCCTGGGCACCTCTTCGGACCGTCTTGGCCCGTCTTGGGGCCGTCTTGGGGGCCTCGTGGGCGGCCTTTGGGGCCTCTTCGGCCGTCTTGGAGCGTTGGAAGCATGAAGTGGTGAGAAGGAGGACCCTGCAAGAAAAATTAACGATTTGAGCTTCTCGGGGCGCTCTCGGGAGACCTCTCGGAGCTCCCTTGAGGTCTCTTGGAGGCCTCCTGGGAGCCTGGAGAGCCGCCCGAAAGCTATCCTGGGTTGCTTGGGAGCGTCTTGGACTTTTCGTTGACGTTCTGGGGGCTTCTTGGGGTCGTCTTGGGCTGTCTTTTTGGCATTGGGGGGGCTCCCCGGGAGGCCGGGAAGCGCGGTACCGGGAGCGTACAGAAGATATGAGCGAGGTGGAGAACGCCCCGGGGCTGGGTCTGGCGTATTTGTCTATATATATATATATACCATATGTGACATCTATATATATATATATATATATAGATATATAACATCCACGGATTCTACTGTTCTCCATTGATGATGTGTTGTGATGGGCTTGCACGCGTTTCCTTCATGTGGAGACATACTATCTTCAGCAACGAACTTAGCAGTCGGCCCCTTTCTTTATAGCGCGGTGATAGTAACCCTATGTCTTCCCTCGCCCCAATCCAAGAAGGGTAATGTCCGCGCAAAGGACGATACCAGGAAACACCAGCACCGGGAGTTATAACAATCTCACGGCAACCTGATGTAACATGTAATTGCGCCGCCGTGCCGCAAGGTTACAGTGTATAATGGTCAGACAATCTGACCTTGCAGTTGCGCTTGCGGGACTGCAGACTACACGCGAAAGGCATCGCTACACATTGTGAGCAGCCAGGCGCGTCGCGGTGCACACAGAGACTGTCTGCCATCTCGCTTGCAGTGCGGCGCGCGCGTTTCCCGCCCTTCTGGTGTGCACTTCGACGCTGCACAGTATGTCTCCAGTCCCTGCGAATTCATGCTCTGTTCGCCCCACACCAGCCATCCCTGTGAAAACCGAAGCGGATGCCAGCGGACTCCCTGCCGGCACCATGTCTCAACGCCATGCCGCCTCCGGGGGCGCAAGCGCAGCCCGTGCCACGCCACTCCGCAAGGTTGGGGGGGGGGCGGGGGCTAAGCGGACGGGACGCCTCCCCGCCTCCCAGCACGCCCTTCGAAGGCCCCTGGGACGGGCCCTCGCGGGCCCGCTCTCCGATGGCCCACGACCTGCCCAAGACGGCCCTGGCATGGCCCGGCGACAGGTGATCACTCGCAGCGCTTGTGATCGTCCAACTACATAAATGTTTGCCAACGCAGCCATCAAGCTGGAAGTTACTCCGACCCAGATGCGCCCAAGGAGGGCTGTCTGCCACGGGGCCAAGGGCGCCAAAACCAAACACCTGGAGAGGGGTCCCCCTCCGCCTCCCTTGCCGCTCGAGGTGGTCCTGCGACCGCCTCCCAGGCCCGTCCCCGCGCAGCCACGAATCCCCCCCCCAGGAGCGAGCCACCGGCATCCCTGGACGACGCCGCAGCCCCTCCGAGACGGCCCGGCAGCCGTGGTCGGAGCCCCCAACGGGCCCCGGGAAGTCCCGGCGGGCGCACGCGATGCAGCGGCGCTGGCCGCCCACGGCGGCGGGAGCGCGGGGCACCAGGACGCCAGGGAGAGCGAGAGGACCTGGACAAGAGGGCCCCAGGGACACGCAAACAGATAGACACAAATCCCAGGTCTCTCTATATTATTTCATATATTTTCCGTGCTTTCATCTTCCGCCCCACTTCCCATATGATCCTGTATGTTCCTGGGGGTCGACGACTCATTGTGTCTGGGTGTTTTTCCCCTCCTGAGCATGACTGGAGAAGAAATTAGCAAAATAATGGTCCTCGCGCGCAAGCCGGAGAAGGTTCTTGCTCACCGCGATGGACTGGCGCAAGTACGGGCCCCAGAGTTCCGTCTTGGCGCTGGAAGCCCGCGTTCCACTTTCGTCTACTCATGATTGGTGAGAAGAGGGGGAGGCGACGTTAAGAACGATGGCAGAAGAAGAGGAAGCAATCACAAGACAGCTCGCCGCTTGGGCCCCACCGCCAGCCCAAACGGCGACCATAAATCGAGCGTAGCACAGCACGCATTCGAATGCCCATACTTCGTCATCGTCTACTCGT